CTATTAGGAAGGTTGAGAGTTTAATCCTAGATAGCAGCAGACAGTGACATGCGGATAGGTTTATGGCTGGTGAGGCAAAAAGAAAGAATGCGGCTTTTGGGCGCTAGCAAGAAAGAGGCTTTTGGATGCTCTGGCGTTATGTCCGACATAGAGGTGGGACACGTCCCGCCTCTAATGGCGGACACAGCGGCGGGGCTTTTGGATGGCGCTGTGTCCGCCATTATAGCACCGGAGCGGCCAAAAGCCTCTTTCTTGAAAGCACCCGCTGTCAAGAGGCTTTTGGCCGCTCCTGCACTATGTCTGCCATAGAGGCGGGACGTGCCCTGCCTCTATGGCGGACATAGCGCTGGAACGGCCAAAAGCCTTTCTTGAAAGCGCCCACCATAGAGGCTTTTGGACGCCCTGCTGCTGTGTGCTCCATAGAGGTGGGACGCATCCTGCCTCTAATGGCAGACACAGTGCCAGGGCTTTTGGACATCCAAAAGCCCTGCCGCTGTGTCCGCCATAGAGGAAAAACTTCCTTAGACCAATGGAAGGCTTTAAAAGCAGAGAGGACCTATGGAAAGCTTCAAAGAATCAATGCTGGATGGAACCAGTGGAGGACCTATGGAAAGCTTCAAAGAATCAATGCTGGATGGAATCAAAGCCGCCCTGCTGCCCCGGCGCTAGAGGCAAAAGCCGTCTGCTGCTATGTCCAAAAGCCCTGGCCTGCTGCTATGTCCAAAAGCCCTGCTGCTATGTCCAAAAGCCCTGCCGCTATGTCCGACATAAAAAAAAGCGCCAGCTCGCGTGCCAGCAGAGGCGGGTAAAACACACACACACACACACACACACACACACATTACTTACAATAATGCAATTACTTACAAATTACATTAATTTTGAATTCCTCCCCCTCNGATGAATCGCATGAAATCCTGTGCGTGTCACCCCAAATGGCTACGCGTGTCAGCACTGACACGCGTGTCATAGGTTCGCCATCACTGTTATACATGGTATTTGCCTGGTTTGAAGCTCTTCAATTGGCATTGCTCTCCTCTTCATTTCTGTATTGCTTGTAATCTATGCCCATATTAGTGTCAATGCCATTAAGATACTACCTACTGGATTCTTCCCTATGTATCTATTTGGCCTCACATGGTCCTAGCTTTTTATCAGCAAAGGTGTATATTCATTCACTACTTCTGATTGTTATGCCCACTGATATGCATAGTTTTTAATGTATTTTAACTTAGGCTATGTTTTATAAAATAAGTGTTGATGTCTATTTTTCTTCATTTTTTAAAGACATTTACTCCTTCCTGGCTATCTGTCTTGACATAATTGACACCATTTTTTCATGCTTGTTATTGTGATTGATATATTAGAGATTTTGCTTTCTTTCTTTTTCCTCAGAGTGCCTGCCAAATACAATGTGATTTTTGTGCACTGGTTTCTACCAGGCTTCTATTCTTTTTTTTCCTGAGTAGACTCTTCTGCACATTTGGTCTCTAAACTGGTTGGTCAAAACTTCCTTCTTTTTGGTGATGCTGAAAGAGCATCTTTTATTTGCCCTTTAGCATCAAAGAGGGGGTTATGAGGGGCAAATAACATGGGTTTTGTTATTTGTTAACTAACATAATTACCTTGTATTTTAATTTGATTTATTTTGTCCCTTTTAAAATGATGCTCAGATTTATTAGCTTTTTAACATTCCTAAACTGATAAACAAGCTGGAGACTACCTCCAGATAAGAAAAGTTTGTAAGTAAGACTTGGGGTCTGGCTTATCTCTTTTGGAAACTTTAAACAACCTTTTCCCTTACAATTACTCCCCTTCTGACATCAGACCTCATTTTAATGAACATGTGTGATATTATTGGATACAAATATGTAATATGTTTGATTACATATAACTGATTTCCTATGCAAAGAAGTGGTTACTTTTATTCTGTCCAATCAACTTTCCTCGTGCATTTTCTTTGCTGTGTTAATTATAAAAATGAAGGAAACATGGGGCTTAAGGTTCTCTCTCTTATCCGGGTACCCTAATGCACTGCTTTTAAATGATCTTCTGACTCAGTTGCTTATTGGAAAGGTAAACTGAGGCAGAATCTAGAGCCAGATTTGGCTTTCACTAGACAAATGCAGTTTTCTTGGCAAGTTTGTCATTGCCTTACTCCTAGGGTAAGAGAGAATCGTGGCTCGACAAAACCGCGCTCGTCAAAATAGCGGTGATAAAATCGCGTCGCTAAAGCCGCAACGTCATCACCACGCGTCATCACCGCCGCGACAACAGCGCGGCGACAGAAGGGTGCTTTAAAACAGCACGGCGGCAGAAAGTGGATTTAAATTAAGGTAACGGTTAGGTTTAGGTTTAGGGGTTTGCTTTAGGGTTAGGGTTAGGGTTAGGGTTAGGGTTAGGGTTATGTTAGGGTTAGGTTAGAGTTAGGTTTAGGTTTAGGTTTAGGTTTAGGTTTAGGTTTAGGGTTAGGTTTAGGGTTAGGTTTAGGGTTAGGTTTAGGGTTAGGTTTAGGG